AGGGCCTCATTATGCAGCAGGGGCAAAGCATCAGCATTCTGGACGAGAGCCTAGCATTAACAGATCGCTGTTATGCTGACTGTTAACAACACTGTTAAGTTAAGCGAACACTCTTCAGCGCTAGTGGCGTCTCGGCGGCAATACACCCAAGTTTCAAGGCGGCGAGTTTTTGTCCGATATAAAACATAGTGGCGCCCGTGGTTTTCTCTTCAGCACTAGGTGGCGCCACCAGGTGGCAATATTCGGGGAAATTTCTTTAATTTCCCCCTTAACTTGAATCTAACGCACTTTTCAGCTTCTTCTTTGACTTCCGCTTTAGAGGGAGGCAGGGCAGGAAGAGAGAGATTGAGAGCCGCCTCTGGTTTTGGCATTTTCTTGGGTGGGTGGTAAAATACATATTTAATAATTCAAAGTTGAATGCTATAAAATCTCAGCGGGGGTCCGTATTTCAGGGCGGTAATTCCACATTGTTCGGGTTCTCCAAAGGAGTCGAGTCGAGTCTGGAATCCTGCCGGAGTCCTGCCAAGCAGGTGGGCTTCCCCTTCGGTTTTTTTCTGTGGGTCTGGCTTTGTGTTAATGTGAGAGTTTACTTAGGCCAGCGGGCGCTGCTGCTATTTTCTGGTGCTACTGCTGCTGCTGCTTTAACGGCGCTTCCTGGGGGAAATTAACCTCCTTGCCACATGGGGGGGACAGCACGAGAAGTGCCCCAGTAGCGTGCAGCAGTCTCCGCTTTTGATGATATGGATCAAACGATTTTGTTTGCAGATTAACCTACACGACGGTGTCCGTCCGACACCAGCCGGCAGTCGCTCGACTCCCGACTCCCGACTTTGTCTGCAACTGCAACTCGCGGCAAATGCCAATTGCAACAATGGCCTCGAAAGGCAATGGCACATCGCGTGTGGCATGCAAGACAGAAATAGAGAGAGAGAGAGAGAGAGAGAGCGAATGACAGACAGCCCCAATACCCGCCCCAGACCAGTTGGGGATTGCAATTGCTGCAAAATGCCTGCCACTTTGCACACTTTTGCACTGCCACAAAACGCCACAAAACTTAAATTGAGCCGCCGCCCAAAACAAACAGTTTGGCGAGCAATCCAAACAGAGGATACCCGGAGTCCATAGAGCCATAGAACCATAGACCCATAGAGAACGGAGAGATTTGTAGAGAGAAGGGAGTCGAGTAGGAGAGTGCGGAGAGTGCCATAGAAGCCATTCATTATCCGCACTTTGATTTTAAAGCCAGTCGGCAAATCACTTAAATCTCTCTTGTGTGCAAAGCAAAAGTCGTGTGGCATGAACTTAACCGTAAATCGCATGATAAATGTTTTCTTATGCCCCCCTTCCCCCCTCTCCAGAAATACCCTTTCCCAGTGTTCAGAGAAGAGGGTAGCATGGATGGATGCTTCTGTTTGCCCCAAAGGACACCCACTCTTCCTGGGAGAAGGGGCGCATCTTTTGTTGTGCTGAGCAGAGCATTTGACAATTCAATTACTTCCTTAGTTTTCCTATAGTTTTGCTTAGTTTTTGCTTTCTTGTTTGTATATTTAATAGAATCTTTTGCATTTCTTATGTGTTTCCAAGTGTCAGGCGGAGGACTAATTTGATTTATGGCCAACGAAAGACGGAACAGAGCAGACAGGGCAGACAGAGTTATGCCCCAATAATAATATTCGCAAATATCGAAGATAAACTTTTTCCTGAAGTCCGTTTCCTGAATCATGCAGGGACGAAGGCCGCAGTATGCAGGACGAGGTTGTTAACGATGACTAAGGCCTTTTAAATGCTGTCGAAAGATGACATTGTTTTTGTGGATGCCAGAAAGTTATTTCTCTCTCTCTCTCTCTCTCCATTTCTCTTTGTTTGCTCTGCGTGATATCATAACTTATGCATACGAAGAGGACACTCTGTCAGGACACTCCCACTCCCACCTACTGCCTCGTCCTGCTGCTCCTTGTGCCTGGAATACTCGTAATACCTGAGATAATCAATTGCTAAATGCCTGCCTAATAATTGATGGTTCTCCTTACACTTCCATCAAGAGATTGTCCCATCGATGGACTTCACTTCTCTCCCCATTATATGGCACTCTTGCTGTGGCATGTGGCAGGCTACATACCCAATCAATCAACATTTTCGGATGGCCCTGCTGCTGTGCCTTTTTTCCTAATTAGCAAATTAAAAATCCTTAGTTTTTAAAGCGTCCTTTCTCCGCTTTTCTCTCACTCTCTCTTTTTCTCTCTCTCTCTGTTGCAGCACGAAAAACTCATTAGTAATTAAATGTTTTCCGGCGCGACTACGCCCTGTAGTGTCCCCGCAACACTCCAGCCCCTTCTGCCCCTTTTCTTCGTACTCTATTCTCCTGCGTCTGTTGTCCCTGTCCCTGTCGTTGTCGTTGTCGTCGTTGCGTCGTGTTCGCACAGCCAGCACTTCCGCACTTCCGCCTGCTGCTGATTCCGAATCCGAATCTGCTGTTGATGCTCCTGCCCCTGCCCCTGCCCCTGCCCCATGCCGCACCTCTGGTGCTCCTCCTCCTTCGCCTTGCGTATGACGCACAAGACTCCTCATGCAATGTATACGCACTTTTTATACCTATTTATAGCCTGTGTCTGTCGATTCCAGGGTATCATCTATGTGCGCATTCTGTTTAGTTCTCTTGCTGATCGCATTAGTCGCATGCCCCCGTGGCACACATCTGTGTGAAATGGAATGTTCTTTTCCTCATAGTTGAATCCCAATTACATCATTCTCTACTCTCCAACCAGCGTATGCGTGTTGCATGAACAAGTGGCAGAATGGCACAGACAGAGAGGCAGCGAGTGCAAATGAGTTTCAGGGGTATCATTTAGTCGGATGTTGTTGCTGCTGGTCTGTTGTCTGCTGCCTGCTGCCTGATGCCTGATTCGGATGCCGTATTAAGCCCGTAAACAAGTCTACAAGCAATGGCTCCTCCTCGGGTTATGGCCACGGCTATATGGGTATATGGCTCTGATTCTGTGGCTCCTACTGGGCGGGCCAGGCGGCCTGGCTGTAGCCCTGAGCATGATTTGTTACTGACAGCGTCTCAGGCAGCAACAGCGGAGGCAGAAGCCCAGGCTATAGCCATAGCCATAGCCATAGCTATAGCCAGAGGCAAGCATCGGGGGCAGGAGCATCAGGAGGAGCCACGCACAGAGTCTCGACTCTGAGGCTGAGTTTGATTTATTTCTCGTTGTACAATTTATGAGTGAAGGTGAAGCAGCAGCAGCCGCTGTGGCATCAACACCATGCCGCACCGCACCACACACCACTCCACGAGCCACGCAACCAGGCAAAAGGATACGCAACCAAAGGAGGCAGAACTGCTGAACCGGACCCTGGGATCCACTTGCGCAATTCATTGAGAGCCCGAGAGAGAGTACCCGAATACCAGGACGAACGGGAGGAGGCAGCAGGCAGCAGCCAGTGTCCTTCCAAGGGTTATGTTCCGCCCGTGGGTTGAAGGGAGAGTGGCGGGAGGGGGTTATGGGCATGGGGCATGGGGCATGGGGCAGTCAGGACTGTCAGGCAGCGTAGCGCGTGTTTCAGATGCGTAAGATTCCCCGAAAGATTTGCCCCAATGCCACAGGGGAATACGACTGAAACTGTGGGGCACAAAAACAAAGAGAGGGGGAGAGGGGAGCGGGAGCGGGCATGACTGAGATATGCTAACTTGGCCGGTGCTTCAGCCTCTGCCGCTGCCGCTGCCTGCTCCACAGTACTTTTAGATTGTGATGGATGCCTATCCTGCTTGGGTGCCACAGCTCCTCCCTCCACCATCCACCCTCTGCGGTTCCTGGAAACAGAATCAGAATCAGAATCTGTGTGGAGTGGAGTCCTTGCGTGCGTAGCCATTAGCGCGTCGGCTGCTGCGTCTTTTATTTCAATTACCACAGCATCTAATGCAAAATTCACGCGAAACAAGGATGGGGCTGGAGATGAGGATACGGATAAGCAAAGAGGATGCGTTATGAGGCATGCTACTGTTCCGCTGCCTTCCTACTGGCTACATCCTTTCCACAGGATATGCCATTACTCATTGTGTTGCCTACTTTGCGGGGCGCTACTTTGAAGTCCCTCGCCTCAGTTGCCACCGACAGAAGCGACAGAGATGCCGACAGAGTTAGAGCTTAAATGCCGCCACAAACTGTCATCAGCTGTCTTTATCCTTGTTATCCTTAGTGGAAGGAGCTCCTGTTGCTGCGTTCCAGCTATTATCACGAGAGAAGAAAAACAGTTGAAACTTTCGGCCACAAAACTTGTCCCGTTCCTTGGAGTCCCATTTCTTCGCTTTTTAGATGCCACAGGACTAGTTTCCTTTCTTGCTACTTTCCACTTTCCCCTCTCTACTGGATGATGCCACAGGACTCCTCTTAACTGCCACAAAAACTGTGAATTATGCACGCATCAAATATTTCAATTACCCCTGCCACAGCCACAGCCCACAGCACCGATGGGGCAGCTGTACCTGTCCACACCCTGCCACACCCACACTCACCCGCTCTCTCGTGACAGCCACACCCTTTGACCCTCGAAATGGAAAGTATTTTTGTCGGTGCCTTTGATGTTGGTGTCGATGAGCCTTTGGGCCATGGAATCTAGGCCCAGAATCTGCTGCTGCTGCCGCTGCTGCCGCTGCTGCTGTTGCCATATCGGTTTTCAATTACCGCTTCCTCCTCCCTGTAGCTCTCTGGTCATTCTCCTCGCTTTGTTCTGTTCCCCAATTAAGCGCCATAGTCCTGGGGTCCCGTGGATGTCAAAGGACTCACAGAGATATCGAATGGAATTCGAATGGACAGCCGGAATGGAATGGCAACATTCATACTATATTCATCTGGCCATCAATCATTCGGTTTTGCGAATTAAAATTCCACGAATTTATCATAATTAATCGATGCCGCCACTTGTGACAGCATGTGAGAGTGAGTGAGAGTGAGTGAGAGAGCGTGTAATGTTGCAACTTGCAACCTGATGCCTGATACTTTCTTTAAAGATTATTTAAGATTAAACATTTATTTACAATTTCGTTATTCGTTTAGCGGATTCATTCGATTCGTATCTCTAGTTTATGGATGCCCCAAGGATCCTTGCGATCCCTTTGATCCTTTAGATCGGGTGTATTATCTTTTGTGTGTATATATATCTGTTATATATTCGCGTATCGTGTATCTGCATCTGGGGGATGCATATGTCATGTATTTTTTGTCGACTTAATTACGTATAAAAATACTTAAAGCACAGAAAACCCAGAAAAAACACAAGACCAAAAACTCAATTTACATATTTACAAAAGAGATTCTCTCAAGATTTTCCAACGAGAGAGAGAGAAAGACGGCGACGTCGTTAGCGTGCCTCGTGTGGCATGGGGCACAGGGCACGGGGCATGGGGCATGGGGCATGGCTATAATGTAATGCAGAACGGCTGATGTGCTCCTGATGGCAGTAACATCCTCCAGGCTCCAGGTGCCGGCTCTCGGCTCCAGACATTGAACATACGTTACCGTTCGACTTAGCGCCTGATGGCGCCTCCTTACAGAGGTCGCAGCGATGCCGCTAGCAGAAGGAGCAGCAGACAGAGGTGTGGCAGTTCCAGACGTGCCCCCACCTCATGCTGCATGGCCGCGTGCTGTTCGCTCTTAATGATATGCACAAAGACGCTGTCAGAATCTGCAGAATCGACAAAGGAGAAAAGAGAACCAAAAGGAATTGTTAAAGGACACTCGCGAAGGAGCAAGGTGACAAGGGACTCCCTGGGTCGCTTACTTGAATTATCCGCAGAGCACGTGTAATTGCCAGAGTCCGTGTGTTGCACGCGGGATATCACCAGGTTGCTGGTCTTCATCTGCTGCTCGGACACGACGCGGATGCCGCCGCGCGTCGAGTCGCTCACCAGCTCCGTGTCCTTGTGCCACAGCATGTGCGTGTACGGCCCCGGCGCCTGTGGGGCAATGCACGTGAGATTGATGTCGCTGCCACTTTGGATGTAGAGCTCTCGATTCGCAAGGATTTGCGCCTTGGAAGCTGTATCGAAGGAGCAGAAGGAGGAGAAGTAGGAGGAGGCGATTAAATACGTGGGGAGGGGAGAATGTCAACAAGTGGAAGGAATGGGATATGGGGGATTTCTCCTTTGCTTTGTTGCTGCTGCCCTGCTGCTGTTTGATGAACTAATTTGACAGAGGAGCAGCAGCGCAGGCAGGTCCCCTCATTCAATGTCCATTGTAATGGAGATGTAATCAAGGCCCCCACAATGGGATTGTATTCGAGATTCCTCACTCAATCGATTGCCCGGGGCTGCTGTGGTGTGGCAAGGAGGGAAGTTGCTTCCCCACCTTATCAAGTATTTATCGCCTTTGGTAATTGAGTGTCCGTTTGTGTATCCTTCTAATTTCAATGCTTAGAGCGAAGCTTGGAGGATTGGGAAACCCCCATTCTGTAGCCCCTATAAGAAGGGAGGGGGGTGGTGGATACTCACTCACGACCATTAGTTTGTAGGCCAAACTGATTTTGGGCTCTGTGGACACCTGACACTCGTAGATGCCGGCATCGCGCGGTTGCACGGACACCACCTTGAGTACCCACTCGTCGGAGTTGTCGATGTGGCGCGCCAGAAAGCGCTGGTCATTCGTGTAGGTCATGATGCCGATGGTGAGGATGTGCAGGTCCCGCTGTCGGATCCAGGACACTGCTCTGTCGCCCAGATGCCGCACACGGCAGTGGAGACGGGCTGTGGTGCCCAAGGCGGCGATGATCTCACGATTTGTCGAGTTGTCAAAGAGCGGATCCATGCCACCATCGTACGAGTCAGGAATGAGATTCGAGAGCTCACTGGCAGAGGCAAGGAAACCTGAAAATATAATAGAGCAGAATATAATAGAATAGAATAGAATAGAGGGAAAGCGAGAGTGTGTCATGAATAGATGTATCTAAATGTCAATCTAAATGTAATTCAAGTGCATTCAATGGTAGATTCTAATGGAGAGAAAAGCAACAGACAGACAGATGGATAGATGGGTGGATTGAATGAATCCTGTATGTGTGTGTGTGTGTGTGTGTTCGATGAAGTTCGAATCAAGGCATTCATTTGATTAACGAGTATTTGTGCTTCGAGTTTAAGCATCGCCCATTCCCACGCACATTATGATCCATCACACAAGACGGAGGCAGAAGCAGAGGTAGGGGCACGGCCCAAGTGATTTATGTGGGTGGCTGTGCCGCACTGTGCCACATGTATTAGGCAACTAATGCGCTAATAATCCATGAGTGGCCTAAACAAATACAAACACAAATACAGCTGCTGCTGCTGCTGCTGCTGTATGCGAATGTAGGATGTTGGATAGAGGATGTTGGATGTTGGCTGTACAAGTGGATAAACACATATTGATTTATAGGCAGAGGCAGTGGCAGTGGCAGTGGCACTGGGCTGGATCCCTGCAGGAGTGTGTGGCTGTGTGTGGCTTGGGTATGTATTTAGATATCAAATATCAAGGCAATAAAATGCTGTTAAACACTTAATTGAAACACTGTTGCGCCTCCATACGCCACTCCAGCGCTCCACCGTTCCATTTACCGTTCCATTCGCCGCCAGCGATATTCGGCGGTGCCGTGCCGCGCGTTGTGGCATCCTCTTCGGCAAACACTTCAGTGGAAATTGCTTTTTATGCTGGCCACAAAATAAAAAACCTCCACACATACACAGAAACACGGTGTGGCATGCCGCACACACACACACACACACACACACACACACGCATGTAGAACATAAAAATTTTTAATAAAAGTTGTGTTATTTACATACAAAGTGCAGAGGGGCAAAGGTGGGACCGCAGCCGCAGCACGACTGGCCACCGACCAGACCCCCACACCCACACACACACCCACCCTCAGTTGCAGATCCCTGACTCCCTCCACCCATGGGGGCGTGGCACTAAACAGGCCTCAGGTGGCGATAAATTATAAATGAGCAGCAATTGCAGCTGCTGCTCCTCGTACAAGAGTCCTGTTCCTCCTGCAAGTCCTGCTGCTGCTGCTCTTTCCACTAACCAACAAAAAAGATGGAAAACGATTCCCGTCAGATGAGTGGGCATCCTGTCTGTCTGCCCGTCTGCCTGTTGGGGCGATCCTCCCAAGGAAGCCCCTAAATGTAATTGTAATGGCAATTGCTGCCATTCTATGCCCCCAATTCTCAATCCATTACTATTCATCCTGTGACTGTTGTGTGAATGGTTCTGAATGAATAGATGAACGAGCGGTTGAAGCTCCAATGCTCACCAGAGAGCAGACTGCGAACTGAAAGGGCAACGAGTGCTCTTCCGCTTATGGGATTTTTATTGAATGGCCTGCAGAAGGCTTCAATACACAAGTATCCCTTTAAATCAGTGTCTTATCTTTAATCCATGTAGATCTAATTGCAGCCAAAAAATAAGCCGCAATCTAATGGAATTTGAACCCTTTCTCATTTTCCAATTGCAATTAGAATAATTTCGAATTTCCAATTCACTTCCGGCTAACCCCATTAATCCTTTTCCCTTTAACCCTTTCGAGAGACTCCTTCCTTCCTCACTCCTTTAATCAATGACTGAATGACTGAATGAATGAATGATTTAATAATCCCACGGATATCCTCCAATCTAATTGAAATATTCCTCTCGATTCCAATCTTCTCTCATTTCTTCTCTACCCCTTTGAGTGGGGTAGGGGGTGGAGAGTGTTGCCTGATTAGATTTTAATCTAGTTGCGGCGGCACGAGGCATACGGCATGCGGCATACGGCATGCCACTCGCCGTGTGGAACGCAGTACTCACCGAAGTATGGACTGTGGCTGCGACTGTGGTGGTGCCTCCTCAGCTGCTTGTCGAATGTTGCGGTTAATCCCATGATCACGAGCAGCGCCATAAAGTATTCCACCAACATTTCATGCGCGCAATTTGTGACGCTCTCGAATGATAACTCTAGTATGGGAGACGGAGAACGAGCAGAGCAGAACAGAACAGAAACAGAAACAGAAAAGTAATTAAAATAAATGATGGCAATGGCGTAACTCGAGATTCGACTCTGGAGTCGACTTTTCAGCAGACAAAAGACCAGAACAACAGTACAGGACACGCTTTGGCAATACCCTGCCACTCCTGGCGCACTCTCTATTCCTCTCTCTCTCTCTCTCTCTCTCTTGAGTCTGTGCCACACAGAAACAATAACTGAGAAAAAGGGATTAGGCTCAAGGCTCCATCTTATCGGGAGATACGGATGCGGCGAGGAAACCGCCGAACATTCGTTTAAACTCTGATGACAGGACCGCAATGCGGTTGAGTTTTCAATCACCATGACGCCTTACACCCACCACAGGACACAGGACATGGGACACCCCACAGGACATCATCATCAAGATGAAGCTGAAGCTAAGAAGATGTGCGCTTGTGGCATGTGGCATGTTCTGTGGAAGTGGGTGGAGCGAAGGGAAAGCTTTTGGTAATTTCTTCATTACACACTAAGCTGTTCATTCAATTGCTGCAAGCACGCTGGAGGGGGGAGAAACGAGGCAGGACGTTGGAGCTGTTGAAAGATGAGCCAAAAGAGGAGGAGGAGTGTCCGAAGGAGGCTGGAGCGGAGGAGCGTGTCCTAGTTGAGTCCTAGTGCCCACAGGCAGCAATTTCGGGCTGGTCACGTTCCGATAATACACTTAATTATATTCCAGGACACGGATGGAACCAGGGAGGGAGCTGTGGGTCCTGGAGGTGGGTTCTGTTCTACCTTTTCTACTGAGGGACTAGACCCAGGGGCAAGTGCTGCTGCTGCTGCTGTTGCTGCGGTCGTCGGAATCGGAATCTGAGTCGGAGTCAATGTAGCGCGAACTGCGTGCCGCCATCTCATGCGCAACGTAACGCATTCGAGCGCGTTGCGTTTCTTTCGCTTAACGATGGACGGGGTGGGGAAATGTCTTTACGTAAGCTGCCTCATTGCCCCCGCGCCAGGCACAGCCACTACGTCACTCGGTCACTATGCCACACGGTCACCCAGTCACCCAGTCACTGTGGCACACTCCGCACTCGAAAAATCAGTCACTCTCCAATGAGGCGTCTGCGATTCCGATTCCCGAATCCCGTTTCCCGATTCACAGATTCACAGAGTCACAGACGAGCGAAAGCCCGAAGATTCCCGAACGAGTAGCAGTCACAGTTCACGACGAGTCACTTCAATGAGTCACAGTATCAGCTTTGTGGCAGGCTCTGTGCTGCTGTTGCTGCGTTGTGCGTTGCGTGTGGCTTGAGGCGCGGTAAACAACTGAACGAGGCGAAGTCTTCCTTTCACATTATGCAAATCCCATTTGTAAGAGGAGTCGCAGTCGCAGGGCGCAGGCGCAGCTGCAACATGTTGCAGCAACATTTATTGGGAGCCAAATTGAATTGTAAACCAAAGGAACTCCATGAAGCAGCAGGCGGTGCAAGGAGGCGTGGTGGGAGGGAAAGGTTAGTTTATTTTTATCTTGAAATTTCATTCGAGATGCGTGGCTTATGAAATATTCACAACAAAACAGAGGAGCAGAGCAGCACTCCCGTTGCCACATTTGATGGGTTATGGACATGTGATTTGTGTCACGCAACAGCAGCAGCGGCAGTGGCAGAATGGAGGATCAGCAGCAGCAGCAGAAGGAGCAGCGGCGGAAGGAGCAACAATGAAGCGATGGAAACAACAGCAAAAATAAATGGCAGAGGCCGGAAAACTCTCATGCATGACAAGGCGCGTTTTACAAGCTTGTTTTCAATTGAAAAGTGGAGCCGACACCCCGAACACATGCCCCCCCACACAGACACAGTCTCACACAGACACAGTCTCACACAGAGACACAATGAATGAAAGTGGCACGCATTGTGCACTCCCATTGTGCCAAAAGCGGAAACGGATATGAAGCGGCGGCCATGGGTGCCCTCTGTTGCTCGTCGTTGTTCCTCCTGCTGCTGTCACTGGTGCCACTGCCACTGCTGGTGGCTGCCACTTTGGCAGGCAGGCAGGCGACTTATCAAAATCGATGAGGCAACATATGGTTCGATTTTAATTTTCTAACATATTTCTCTGCCTCCTGCCAGACACACACACTCACAGACAAAGGCACAACCAACCATTGACACGACGACGCACAGAGAAGTTGAGACAGACACGACACCTACACACATGTACACATGCCGCACCTCTTGCTATGACCTCTCTCTGTCGCTGTCTCTGTCTCTGTCTCTCTCTCTCTCTCAGGAGTGAGACATGCCACTCTGTCCCCCTGAAATCCGTTTAGCATATTTTCTTTGGAAATTGAATTTCAAAGTTATTATAAATATTTCTCCAATAAATGCAATTTGAGTGGAATTTTTTCAGCCTCTGCCTCCTGCAGTCCTCCCCCTGGCCAGACATTCCCCTACCCCAGGACACCCCCTGCACTGGCTCATCGTGCTGCTTGTTGCTTGCTCTTTTGGTCGCCAAATAGACAACGCAATGGAGGAGTCGCAGGAGCAGAGGGCGCCTAAGTACGCAGAACCTATGGCGATAAGCCTCTGTCTTTCATATTATTTTACACTAACAAGCCAAACATTCCTCAAATTGAACAAGCGGCGACATTTTTCCGTTATTTTCTCATTCCCAGAGCCCCGCGCTCATCCATCCATCTCTCTTGAGTGAATTTGTTGTTGCCACTCTGCCACATGAGGCAGGAGACTCTGTCAAAATTATAGGGGAGGGCTTGGAAAATTATTGAAAATGTCGAAAACACTTGAAGAGTCCTCAACGAATCGCGCGCTGGTAATGTTTTTGCGAAAGGCAGAATTTTCTATAATTAGAAATCGCCCCAAAAAGTATACTACGAAAAATGTTATTCCCAATTTCCCTACTGAAAAATCCCTTTGGGTAAAAGGACCCTTCAGCAGATCATATTGCGTCTAACCTTTCGATCTACCCTCCACCATGTGCCCTTCCTCCTCTCCACCTCCTGCAGCTATTTTGCTTAAAGGGCTTCTTGCGATTTGGACATTGATTGCATACCGAATTGATGAAAATGCTGGCTCCTACCTACCCACCAACCTACGGAAGGGAAGCGAAGCCCGCCAAGGGAAGAGAATAATGTACGAGGGAGGGGTGCATGGGGAGGGGAGAGCAACTGTCGTGTGTAAAATTGATAACTTTGTTTGTGTAAACAGCGACGCGACATATCGCCATCGTATCCCCTAACCCCCAATCCCTCAATGCACAGCGACAACATCTCAGGCACTTCCTCTGCCCTCTGCATCCCTTAACCTTAACATCTTCCCGCTCCGCTGTATTCCTCATTCCTCATGTGTGGCGCGACCGACAAATTTCCATCGCCATCCCCCCACACACACACATGAGGTGATGTATGTGTTCGGGGCGTGTGCGTGTTTATATCGCGTATCGCGTATACGTAGCGTTCTACCGTTGATACAGAGACTCCGGGACTCCACTCTCGAATTATCGGTGTCAATTTTTATGCTGCCGTTGCTGCTTCTGTTGCTGCTACGTGTGCGAAATTTAACAGAGCCCCGAAACTGATGAGTGAACCTGTAGACAGCGAGAGACAGGCAGACAGACAGACAGACAGACAAGCAGACAGACAGACAGACAGACAAGCAGACAGACAGACAGACACAATAGACAGGACTCATCGCCCAACAAATAAATGGAAAAACTACTACCAAGGACATCAAAAACAAAGCAAAAAGAATAGGATTATTGTATATCTGGACTATGGGATACCTGCTACGTGGCGAGAGCCGAAGTCTGGATGAGAGGAAAAGCAATAGAAAACTGTTCACAGTGCATGGAAGTTGCTGTCTTTTGTGCCAATTATTCGTTGCAACTGAAATTTGAAGGGATCGATGTGTTGAGATCACTGTGACATAGATTTCCACGGCTGCCATATACCCCCTTGCAGGTACTCCTCTCGCATCACAATGTGTATAACAATGTCGCCCAATTTGGCAAAGAACACGGCAATGGGCCGACAACTCGATAACGAAATGGGAGCCAGAGCTAAGGGAGAGTTAAGACAGAGAGGGCCAGAGACAAGCGATGAGCGACATGGAGACAGTGCCAAAGTTACAGCCAGAGAATAGGAAGAGACGGTGAAAGAAACAAGAGAAAAAGCAAAAGCAAAAGGGGGGCGAATCCAGGTCTAAATATGCCAAAAGTAGCTGCACAGGAAAGCCAGGACAATCAGGAGCATCCGAATGGGAATCGGGCATCAGGAATGGCAATGCGAATTCCAATGGTTATGGGAGCAGGAGCAACAGCAGCAGGCAGGACACGAGGACACGAGGACACCAGGACACCAGGACAACAACAGGACTCCGACGATGCTTAAATTTTGCTCAACTGTTCATCAGAATTACAAATTGTATTCGATTTCCGGCATTTGTGACGCTTGAGTTAACAAAATCCTCTCCCCTCTCTCACTGACACTAAGCAGTGGGAATGGCAGGATAACAGCCGCAGGGATAACGGGCATGGCATGTGCCAACAACAGGAGAAAAGGGTGAGGGTGCCACGATTTAAATGCCATATAAAGTTTTATGCATATTGCTGTTGTACCAGCGATAGTTTATCGGTGGAAACACGACACAAGAGGACACAAGAGGACGATGACAATCCGGAGGAAAACGCTCCATTTGAGGCACATTCGATGGGGGTTTGGGGACAGCCTTTGATTCGATTAGACCGATTGATTGTATTACCATAAAAATCGCATTGATTCGGCTTAGTGAAGCACTCTTTTCCGACTCCAACTCCGATTCCAAGGATTGCAATGGAATGGAATCGAATGGAATGGGTGTGTCTCTCCCATTGTCTCTGCTCAGAGTACTCTCGCTTCGCTTTCAAATTCGAATTCCTCTAAAGTTTTCCCCCCCTCGAAAATTTATTGAAGGAGAAACTTTCCCCTTGTTTCTAGTAGATTCCTGCGGAAGATTCGGCTTTTGATTTATGTTCCATTCTCGTGAATGAAACTGAAATATAATATTTAAATAATACTCGTATTTTCAGACAGATAGAGAGAGACATTACTCATGCGAGGAGCCATACGCTTCTTTCTCTGGTGACTTTCTCTGAAGAAAGGGGGAGAGAGCGAGATGCTGTCTCTGTTTTGGCGTCTGAGGTCATCTGCCAGGCGCCGCCGGAACTCATTTTCCCCTCATTTGCCGTTTGGCATTTGCCGTTTGGCAGACGAAAAGAAGGCATCTTCATGTCCTGTTTCTTGTTTCGGTTTCTGCTGGAAAGTTGCTATAAATGAAGCCATCAAATAAACCCCAATGATTGACCATCAATATGGCATGCCGCGTGCCCCCCTCCACCATTGATTGGGGGCGTTTAATTATGGCTCCCCCACACGATTCCGCCAATACTCGGACTCGTAATAATGCGGGGCACAAATAGCAGGTTACATTCAATTTGACATGTAATTTTATCGCCTCAAACAAAAAGTTTATGTGTGTGCCACACCAACACCAACACCAGCACCAGTGAGCAGAGAGTAGGGGGTGGGGTGCTCAGGGGGGGGGGAGGGGCACAAATACATATATTTTATTATTTTATTATCTACTGTTTTATAACTTTTCTTCCCTCCTAAGCTTCCACTCAAACTTTCTGCACGTTTTCCGTATAAAAAGCACTGCTCCGCTGTGTGTGCCCCACCAGAGCTTCCGTCAGCAGATTTGTGTCGACTCCACACACTGCCCCATCGACAGCCCAGTTCCACTACCCCGCATCCCCCTGAAGACTCCCCGCACAAATGGCGCAATTGTGTGAAAGTTGAAAAACGTTTTCCGTTCGTTTTCTTTCTTTTTGGACGGAATGTGCGGCACTAAACAATGCCATAAAGCGTCAAACTTGTCGATACTTTTTCGTTCCAATCTTGTAGATACATTGCGAAAGGAGCAATGTATCTGTGTATCTGTATCTCCACTGAATGTATCTCTAACTGGTGCTGTGCTCTCTTCTCTGCCCCGGCTTCTGTCTGTGTGCTGTGTGTTGTCTGGCTGTCAGAATCAGTTTTGCTGCTGCTGTTCTTCTTGTTATTTCTGTCTGCCACTCTGCCACTCTGCTACTTTGATTATAACAATGCGGGGAGACGCCTCCGCCTCCCCAGCCATAGGGAGGGTCTTTTGGGGGCACAGACAATCGCTTACAAATCTTGGCAAAGGAAAGTTTTCAATTTGTAACTATTTGTTGTTCTGGGTTATGTAAATTGGCTTTCTCATGTCGCTCTTGCTCCGTT